TTGCAATTTTTTCTGCTGCTGTGTCTTCTTCTTCTTCTTTGCTCAGCTTCACTTTCTCCAAAAAATGCCGCTTCCGACTCCCCGAAATCTAGTGATCCCACTAGTGATGATTTCTACTCGGTGATTTACATTTTCTCTCAACCCGATACCCTTTCACAAACTAGTGACCAACGTGCCCGAGGTCTCTATCACCTCGGCAAATGTCTTCTCGACCTTCAGGACTCCACGCCAACTCGTGACGTGCTAGCTTCCTCATTTCATCGTAAATGGAATAATTGCAACTCTGCCGCCTATTTCCTCAATCTCCCGATCTCTTCACCGCAGACACTTCCTCAATTAGCTAGACTTGCATCAGCTTATAGAAACCTCACTTCAGTGTTTGGAAAATGGCCAGATGATGCCGGACTTCAGATGATGCAAAGTGGTGGACGCTTCAAGGGTGGACAACTTCCCTTGCCTGATTTTTTGAGAGAAAAGAAGATCCAACTTCCCCAGTTGGAAGACTTCAAATCCGCTGAAGAGTCATCGAAGGAGCAGAGTGAACCAGTGGAGTCTCCAACAGAACAATCGGAAACTAATCAAAGTCCTCCACTGTCAATCCAAACCGAGAAAAATCCCTCTTCTCCAGCTCAATCCACTTCCAACGAGCAAGAGAAGCCGGTTAGTCCTCTTCAGAATAACCCGGATATTCCATCCACAATGGATTTCCATGATCAAGAGGCCCTTACTACGGAAGGTGGTCGAGAAGTTGTTTTGCCTGCTGCTATGGGTGGTTCATGGAAAGAAACCATGTACATGCGGCTTAATAACAAAGTTCTTCAACTACAATCAGACGTTTCTGTCAGTATGAGGTCCGTCTACTAATAAAACTATAAGTAGTATATCTCCAAAAAATTTTAATTGCATCTTGGTCTTGTCTTACAGGTATCTTGAGGAATTGAGTCAAAGCTACAAGCGTCAAACTGAACGACTTTCTGCATCCTTCAATATTACTACGGCCTGGCTGAAAGCGACGGCGAAAGGTGCCGAGGAAAGAGATTTGCTTCAACAGGTGCGAATCGATGCATTGGAGGCTCAGTTGACGAAATTACTCCTCATTCTGGCTGAACAGGGTCTTGTTATTGTTGACAATTCCCTATCTATTAATCGTAAGTGCACTGCCGTTTGGAATTTACGTAACGGCGCTGTAGCTCACTTGAAATGTTTTGTTTAGTTTTTTTTGAGAGGGAGAGCAGAATGCTTTCTAGCCCAACTGGTCAACGAGTTGTTTTAATTTCTGGACTTGAGTTTCAAAAGTGTTCGAACCCGGAAATAAGTGCAAATCTCAATCTTTCTTTCTTTTTGCTATAACCCTTGACAAAATATCTAAAATAGAAATTATTGATAGTAACTCATTAAACCTGACTTTCATAATGACCTCTATACTATTCTACATCTGTCTGAGCCCTCTGCGCCTAGGGCATTTTTTAATAATTACCAAAAACGTATGGATTTTTCAAGATATAAGTTACTTTATTTCCTAAATAGTAACTCCAATTTTTTCCCGTAATTTAGAATCTCCTGTTGCCCAGTCGGCAGTTCCAGAATTCCGCAGACCATTCCCAGCCTCCATCACACCCGGTGCAGACCTGCGATCAATAATCTGGTCTGTTTTCTTCCAGTCACCCCTCCTTGCCGCTTCCAAACATGATGGTTCTGGCAAATTCTGCGGAGCGACAACTTCACCCTCGTTTGCTGACGATCTCGAGGGTAGTTCTAAAACTTTTTCCACGAATTCTGCCCTACCTCTGGTTAACAAGCCCATGCAAACGCAGTCAACTGCAGGAGGTTCAAAATCTGTGAAAATTCCGAGTGTATCTTCTCAAGCCTCTCTGCTTCTCGGTGGTGGAAGACAGAAGAGGTTGAAAGAGAAGTCTAAAGGATCAAGGCTTTTGAGTGATTTGGGCTGGAGGTTCATGTTGGTTGTTGCTGGCAGACACTTGAGAAACTTTTTCCTCTCAGAGGTGTGTGTTTATCTCATCACATATGTTCCTTCGGCATATCTTTCAATGCATTTTCGAATCTCTTTACTTTTCTAGAAGTTTCAGGTGTGGACATTGCACGCCTTTTTCGCAGTGCTTTCCCAGGCATTTGTCTATCTAGTGTTAATGAGAAAAATTATTCGGAGATGTGCCCAATCATCACCAGTACAGTCGTCAGCTTCACTATCGTCGAGATGCTGTGGAAGGTGCTTTTGTGCCAATTATTTGGTGAGTTTTAGGTGGAAGGGAATGCGGTGAAGGGATTCCTTTTGGGAGAGAACGCATAGGCACACTCCTCCCATGTTAGAAGTCCGCAGGAAATGGGTCTGGAGTAGGGAGGTGACTAGGAGGATGGGGGTCGTGGATTTTAAGTCAATTCTGGTTAATTGATTGGACGCAACGAGAGCAAAATAGGTTTTATTCGGACTGTATCAAGTGGATATTTATTTGCTTATATCAAATGGCAGACTTTATGATAGTTGTCATTAGCCCTTTCGCTGACTTCAGGCTTCACAGAGGAAGAGGTACATCTAATCGAAAATAGTCGAGACGGGGGGGGGGGTGAACAGAAGAGTGTTTTAAAGATGTAAAAGAAACAGACACAAAGGTAGATGAAAGATGGGGTGAGTACTATGAAAGTGATCGAATATGACATACAGTGGGGTCATGATAGCTTGAAGTCAGAAGTCAACTGCCGGTTTATAGACTTTTTTGCCGTATGAGTATACGGTGCCCAGGGTGCACCACGTGGAGGTAAGTCTACCGCACACTCCGTATCAAGCGGATATTAAAGGCAGCTCTCTGAGACATTTTGGCTTTGATTGATTGGGATTTTTGGCGTTATTTTTTATGTTTGTTTTTATAAAACACCCGAAACTCTCCATTTTCCTTTTAGAAGGTCAAGAGTCATGAAAATGGTGTTGCTACTACTCACTTCGGCTTGCATTCTGCATTAGCTGCAAAAGACATTAAAGAGGAGAACACCTCCTATAAGGGGGAAGAGGAGACAGTGTCTTCTGCAAGTCCATCTTCCTCAACCCTTTCCACGGAGGAGCGCCAACCCAAAAAATATAATGAAGAGTTCCTTCAACATGGTTAGAATTTTGCGCCTCTAGTCGTTAATTTCTATTGATTTTTACTTAATTCCCTTGCAAGTAGTACATAGGCATTATTTTTTTGTATTTAAGATATTGCTGCCTCTGAAGACGATCTCAATGTGGTTGTTCGTCATCGTAAGCTATCGCTTAGTGTTGAGGAAACAGAAGTGGAGCAAAAGCGAAGTCTGGTAAGTTATACGCACCCCATTTTGAGGTTCCCCCCCCCCCCACCTTCTTTTTGCTTATCGCACATTTTTATTTTCCCATTTTAAATTTAATTTTTTAGCTTTCGATTCATTCATTATCACCCATGGTTTCGTAGTGTGGTGGTAGGTGCCGCTTAGCCAACCGCATTTCACTATGTTTCCACATCTCTCTTCTTCGCTTCATCAATACACGATGTACCTTTTTTCTATTTACTTGATATGTTTTCTTATATTCGTTTCCGCCTTTCGAGCTGCTTATCTCTTTCACGTTCTTGAATGTTTGACTGGATTCATATATAGTGTGGCAGGTGGGGAGGAGAAGATGTCTATTCATTCAAGATCTGATTTGATTGGTAAGATATTTGCAAGGACAAGATCGTGAAAATAAATAAATTTTGTCTGATTAATGTTGGTAAGATCGCATGACAACAGAAATGCTAATTTTGAGTAAATAGTTGAAGAAGGATTTCTTATGGAGCTTTCCTAATTTGGTGGAAACTGTACATTTCGTGGAACAGTTGCATGGGCTTAAAAAATTCGTGTTATGAATAATGATGTGTAAATTGGCTGAATATGTGTGCCGCTTAATGACCTCTCATTTGTGACTTGGTACTACGTTCTTTCTACTTTAGTTGACAGATGGAAAAACTGTTACTCCTTCATCGCCCTCATATACAATTTCATCGACAACTGTGAAACAACAGTCAGCCACTATAGGTAGTAAAAGCTTTCGAAAGCGTCAAAGGCAGAAGCAGAAGAAGCGATCAACTTTAGAAGTGAATTAACAATCATCCACAACCCCCCCCCCTCTTCCCTTTATTTGTGAACCACAGATTTATGTTTCTTATTCTAATTTTCAGAATTCTATTTTCCTTGTGTGACATTTATTTGGATGAAAAGTGTTTTATTTTTACCGTACTTTACTCGGTTTTACTTTACTGCGGCTGAGTGAAAGGTGCTTGGCAGCTCGGTAAATAAGCATTTTAAAATTACATCAATTGATGAGGCCAAGAAACAGTGCTTGGTCTTGTACAGGCAGTCCTTTAAAATTAGTCTCCTGTAATATCCTCCTGTAAAGATGATGCGCAAATATCTCATGCTTAGTTTAATCTATATTATGGCTGGCGACATGTTTGGACAATTAACAACTCTTATACCGTTACTAATAATATCTAGTATACACTAACTCAAAAAAAATTTAGAAAAATAAGTTCATTTCTTCACATGTAAGAAATGACAAATTAAGTTATTACCATCGGTAATAATTAAAATTGTGATCAAGGTGTAGGAAGATAACGTGAATTCACACAACAGTACCATAAAAATTGAAGACAAAATAAACATTATGACAGAAATTAAAGCTTCATGAATTTATTATATTACAAAACTTAAAGATACGATCCAAAATTAAAAGGTAGTTGACCAAAAAATGAATCACAATACACGAGAAAGCTTAAATAATATTTTTGCATCGAACACGAATTTACAACATTTTCATACGAATAATCAAAGTATACCTGTCAAAACTTTGTATTTTCTATTTTCCCTGTGTTATTAATTTTTATTTTATATCAATAAAATGTTTTAATTCACTCCAAAATTATTATTCTAAGGAAAGCATTCTGATTTACCAAGGTCAAAATTGTATATTTTGTCTAACGTTGAGTGTTGCTGAAATGTCCGAAAGTGAGGCAGTGGATATTTCCACTTTACCCTTGCCACAAATTCAAGAAATCGCAAAACAATATGAACAAAAAATTCAGTTTCTTAACGCTTCATTACAACAGTTTCGAATGCTTCAAGGAAAGTTCGCCTCTTCTAGAGATTGTCTGAAGCAATTTACGGCCGAAAATAAGGATAAAAATACGTTAATTCCATTAACTTCAACACTTTGTGTTCCTGGGAAACTTATAAATCCTTCACGTGTTATCGTACATATTGGAACTGGATATTTTGCTGAAATGGTAAGTGCATATTTATGCTTAAATTCATTTCATTTTAGGAAGCTGAAGATGCCAAGAAGCACTTTAATAGTCGTATCGAATTTATTGATAAGCAGATTGAAAAGGTGGCTCCCGTTTTGGCCCAGAAAACTCAAGAGCACAGAGCAATTATGAGCGTCCTAGAAGCTAAAGCGAAGGCACTTATGAAAGCTCAAGCAGCTAAACAATCGTAATGTATTTGTCTTGCTAATATAATATTCTTGACTGATACGTTCATATGCATTCTCTTGTTTATTTATTGTTTTGTTTTAAGATTTATACCGTTTTCTTCTTAGCTTGGTAAATTATAACCGTAGTATGGTTTCGTGCATTTGATTTGCTGAATTAAAATCTTGTGAGTTTTGACTCTGCGTTATTTAACTGCATTTTCTTATGTGATTGTAGACATATAATTGTCCTATCCATATTTGATGAATTTAACTTGAGATTATGTCTAAATAAACAATATGAACGATAGTTTATGCGAAGAGGAAAGTGGAGGTGAAAAATTGAGATTTTAGGATTACGTTAATCATCTCTAGTTCAATTAAATTGCTGGAATGATTATTCCAAAGCTTATTTTTGTACTCGTTCATCTAGATTTTTGTTATCACTGTTATAGGGTCAATTTTGTATTTCAAATGAAAAATTCAATTCTAAGTCCATTCTAAAAACTGGTTTGTTCTGTAAAAGCATGTCTTTTCATTAAGTTGTTTAATACTTGCTTTAATCTCATCCATTTCACAATTCGTTATATTTGATTGTCGGTTTTTTCTCATTTGGCATAATTCGAGAGATGTTAACATTTCTACTAAATTAAAATAAGTAGCAATATGAAATTTTCTCTATTGTTTACGGCACCATTTGATTACTGATTCCTGATTGGACTTTTTCGTTGTTCAATTTCCAAGATACAATTGCCTTATTGTTAAGCAATTGGATACTTGTGACTTAACGGTCAGCTAATAAGAAGTTCTGCTGTTAGGTTTTTAGAACTAACTCTTGTGTATACATCTAGTAGCTACTATTTCTGACCTCGAACTATTAATTTTATATTCGTACCCGTATATCCAAACTAAGCTAAGTTGCTTTTGTATTTCAAAATGCTTAGTAAAACCAAGTATTTATTCATAATAAATGACAGGCTTTATGATAGTTATCATTAGCCTTTTAGTTGATTTCGGGCTTCGCTGAGGGGAGGAACATCAAAGTTACATTAGTCGAGAGGGGGGGGGGGTGAACAGATGAGTGATGCTCAGATATAATGGAGGCAGACATAAAGTTGGAGAAAAATGTAAATGGAGTACTGTAGAAGTAGCCAAACATGGCTTCAGTATGGTTCATGGCAGATAGAAGTCAACTGCCGGTTAATAGACTTTTTTGCCGTCTGAGTATACGATGTCCAGAGTGCGCCACGTGGAGGTAAGTCTATCGCGCACCCCGTAAAACTAATTTTCGTAAAGTCCAATAGACAACTTAGACTGGTTCAAAGTTCGAGATGAAACTAACTAACCAAATATATTGAGCCATGAAACTCTTGACACCAATATATGCTACTTTTAACTGGTGCTCCTGGAAGTCTTTATTTATCGAAGACAGAGAGCTCTAGTTTGTATCGTACTTATATTTTGGAAATTCTACTTCCTTGGATCTAGATCACAATCTTAGTGCGAGCGCTAAAATTGTGATCATTTTCTTTAGATAGAATAAAGTCTATTTAGTTATGCTATAGGTTAGTTGTCGCTTATTTTCACTCTAACTAAGAAGTGCATATGAATCTTGTAGTCCGTGATTCGTACTTTCCAATCGATCGCTTTCAAACAACCCCGTAGAAGTCCCCACTAACGGATCTGATGAACTGATATGATCGTTTGCAAACATATGATATATCTGCCAAGACGAATTTTACAATAACCAAAGCCCGTGAAAGACCAATCGAGAAGTAGAGAATGTAATTTGTTCAAGGTGGATAAGTTTGTGAAACTGAACGAATAAGTTATAGGAGAATCTTAAAATTGAGGTCGAAATGGGAAATAAGGAGTTCGATTTTTGACAAATAAGCGGCTGTTGATCTATTAGAAGGGGAATTCCATAACAAATTATCAAACTAAGATAAGGAGACGATAGTATAATACAAGATTTTTTTAAAGGTGACAGTATTGATAAGATTCTGATATAAGCAAAAGCAGAAACCGGTCTTTGATATTCATCTCGAGTCGGGTACCAGCATGTGGAAATTTTCAAATGCGAAAATCCAACTCACCTGCCTCTGTACTGATCGGTTTTGGCCAGTACTGGTTGTGTCGTTGTTCACACGATCGATGCATAATTTATCCGTCACGTCTAACGAAAAAAGGTGGTGTGTTTGGCGACTACGCCCCACGTAGTACCTTGTATCGAACACCACACAAATCCTTAATAATCTTGTCATAAGTCCAACTAGCCTTTAGCGGAGTTCTCTGGAAGGTATTGTATTAAAACAAATATTTATCGATTATTGCCTGTGAGGCCCTTGCACTCACTGCCTCTCTTGCCCGATGCACAATCAGTAGCACTTACAGTAGTTTTGTACTCTTAATAACCTGCCCCCCCCCTACTCCTTCTAACTTTTTCAACTCGCGCTTATGGTGTTATCTGTGAAACACTTTCATTTAGATAGGAGTAAGAAATTCGAAATTGTGCATTCAGCAAAAAAATCACATTCTGCTACTGTTTGAATCAAGCTCAATTCTTGGTGCACTTGTTGACCTGGATAGTGGAGACAAATTTTATGACTTCTCAGAGGTGTTGTTTATGAAGAAAAAACTGTTTATATGTGCTTGAATAGGTAGAAAACGGTTTGCAGATTGGTCAGTCGGCAATGGCTTCTCCAGAAATTGAGATCGTGAAAAATCAATCGATTCGATAATCCAATGCCTGAAAGATGAAGGCAAAGCAAATATTCGATCAGACTTCCTAACGTTAAAACTCTTGGTATTTAAAATCGAGAATTTTTAAAGAGCTTCACTCGACCCACAGCACATTTATTCCGCTTCATTGCCTTATTGTTGGCTTTTGGCAAATAGCAAAATTTTGTAACTCTTCTATTACTTGGAATTCACATTGAATTAAGGGATCAGCAAAATGGAATTATGCTCAATGTCACTTACGTAGGTGATTTATTTGTCAAATAAAATCGAAAAATAACTGCAAAGTAAATTTTTGTATTTAATTAGGTGCTACAAACTAGTCGTTTACTATAATGACGCTTTCATGAATGATTGTCTCTGAAGGGGAATAGTGATCTACATTTCATTTCTCCAACTTAAAATTGTCCTTATACTATAATGATGGGGTGTGCGATAGACTTACCTCCACCTGGTGCACCCTGGGCAACGTATACTCATATGGCAAGAAAGTCTATTAACTGACAGTTGACTTCTGACTTCAAACTACCACGGCCCGACTGCATGTCTTATTCGACTCCTTCACAGTACTCACCTCACCCTACCTTTTCTCTGCCTTTGTGTATGTCTGTCTGTCTCTAATACATCTTTGAATCGCTCTTCTTTCCCCACCCATC